ATGGGCATGGTGGGGACACAAATGATGGTCATGGTGGGGACAAGTGTGATGGGCATGTTGGGGACACAAATGATGGTCATGGTGGGGACAGAAGTAATGGGCATGGTGGGGACGTGGGTGATGGGCATGGGGGGGAGGGGGCAGTAGGAATGTTGGGGACAAGGGTAACGGGCATGGAGGGGACACAGGCATTGGGAGTGGTGGGGACAAGTGATGGGGATGGTGGGGACATGGCTGGTGGGCATGGTGGGGCTGGGCGCTGGGGACACGGGTGGTGCTGGGGTCACGGCAGTGACAATCACGAGAACATGGTGCTGGCTGTGGCCACCACGGAGGTGGCTGGAGGTGACGCGGGGCCGGTCCCCGCGCAGATGGCCTCACGGCACGTGGCACTGCTGGCGGTGCTGAAGCTGGTGCCGCGGTGGCTGGCCGCCCTCCTGGTCCGCACCGGCCTCATCTACTGGATCTCGCCCGTCTTCCGCATGGCGGCCACCAGCCACAGCGAGGCTGTGGCCCGGCTGACGGCCGACCGCGACCTGCGCGCCCTGCTCAGCTACCTCTTCTACGGTCAGGGGGCTGTCGTGATAGGGAGGGGGCTGTTGCGATAGGGAGGGCACCATTGCGATAGAGGAGGGCCATGTCGCGATAGGGAAGGGAACCATGGTGATGAAGGAAAGCTCTGTTGCAATAGAAGAGGCTGCGTCGTGATAGGGAAGGGCCATATCACAATAAGGGAGGGCCATGTCATGATAGGGGATGTCGCCGTCATGATAGGGGAGGGCTGTGTTGCAATGGGGAGGGCTGCATTGCAATAGGGCAGGCTGTGTCATGATATGGGAGGGCCACGTTGCAATAGGGGAGAGCTGTGTTGCGACAGGGGAAGGCTGTGTCATGGTAGCAGAAGGATACATTGTGATGGGGAGGGCATCCTTGTGATACGGGAGGGCTGTATTGTGATAGGGGAAGGCTGTATCGTGATGGGGAGGGCCATGTTGTGATAGAGGAGGCCATATCGTGACAGGGGAGGCCATGTCGTGATAGGGGAGGGGTGCCCCGTGTTGGGGCGGGGGCCGGCTGAGCCTGTCCCCCCCCAAATCGTGTGTCCCCCTCCCCATCCCCAGGCACGGCCCCACGGGACTCCAGCTTTCTGGTGAACATGCTGATGGTGCACCACTACCAACGAGGGGCCTGGTACCCCCGGGGGGGGGCCAGCGAGATCGCCTTTCACACCGTGCCCCTCATCGAGCGCGCGGGGGGGGCTGTGCTGGTGCGAGCCCCCGTCACCCGCATCCTCGTCTCCCCCGCCGGCACTGCTGTGGGTGAGCACTGACCCCCCTCTCCCCGTCCCAGCCCCCTCACTGTGGTGGGGGGACACACACTGGATGGGGACAGGGTGGCAGTGCCCCCCCCATGATCCCCCCCCGTGCCTCCCAGGGGTGGTGGTGCAGAAGGGGCCGAGCGAGGAGGAGGTGGAGATCTTCGCCCCCCTCGTCATCTCCGACGCCGGCATCTTCAACACCTTCGGCAAGCTGTTGCCCCCCCCCCTCCGCAGCCACCCAGGTACCCTGTCCCTATGTCCCACATCCCTGCGTCCCCAGCATCACCAGTGTCCCCAGCATCCCTGTGTCCTGGTGTCCCCAGCATCTCTGTGTCCTCAGCAACACCGGAGTCCCCAGCATCCCCATGTCCCCGGGGTCCCCATTTCCCTGGTGTCCCCGTGTCCCCAGCATGCCTGGTGTCCCCGGCATCTCCACATTCCCAGCATGCCTGTGTCCTTGGCATCACCCATGTCCCCACCATCCCCGTGTCCCTGGTGTCCTCAGAGTCCCCAGCATCCCTGTGTCCTCAGCATCACTGGACTCCCCGGCATCCCAGTGTCCCTGGCATCCCCACATTCCCAGCATCCCTGTGTCCCTGGCATCACCAGTGTGCCCAGCATCACCAATGTCCCCAGCATCCCTGTGTCCCCAGCTTCCCCATGTGCCCAGCATCCCTGGTGTCCCCTCCGCAGGGACAGGTTGTCATCTCCCACATCCCAACCCACGTTCCCGCAGGCATCCGCTCCCGCCTGGCCATGGTGCGACACGGCATGGGCTCCTTCCTGGTGTTCGTGGGGCTGCGGGGCAGCGCGGCCGAGCTGGCCCTGCCCGCCACCAACTTCTGGATCTACCCCCACAACGACCTAGATGCCATGTAAGGGGTCCCCGGGCACCCTGGGGTGGGTGCACGGCGGGTGGGGGGCTGCATGGTGGGTGCATGGCTCTGCCTGCAGGATGACCCGCTACGCTGCCCTGAGCCGTGATGACGTCCCCGAAAACCTGGCCATGATGTTCATCACCTTCCCTGCCGCCAAGGATCCCACCTACGAGCAGCGGCACCCAGGTATGGAGTTGGGGGGGGGTCCCCCATGTCCCCCCCCCAGACTTGCAGCTCTGATCCGCTCAGCTTTGTGGGCTCTGAGGCTCCTTAATCCCACCAACTGGGATTATGGGGTGGGCACCGCCACCACCGCCACGTCCCAGGGTGACACCAGTACCGGGGTCCTCCACAGTGGGAATGGGGTTGTCACCCTCTCCTTGCAGGCCGGTCATGCATGACCATCCTGACCATGGCGCGGTACGAATGGTTCGAGGAGTGGGCTGGGACCCGCGCCAAGCACCGGGGCCCCGACTACCAGCGGTACAAGCTGGCCATTGCCCAGCGCCTGCTGGAACGGGCACTGCAGCGCTTCCCCCACCTCCGTGACAAGGTGACGGGGGGTCCCCACGGTGTCCCCTGCCATGTGGGGTGCCCAGCGGGGAGAGCGTATGGTGGGGACAGGGTGTTCTGTAGGGATGGGGGGGGGGTGTAGGGATGGAGTCCCCCGGTGCCCTGTGGGGTTGGGGTACCACTTCAGTGGTGGGGTGCCCCACAAGGTTGGGTGCACAGTGGAAATGGGGTGCACAATGGGGACTGGGTGGTCTGTGGAGTTGGGGTGCCCAGCAGGGTTGGGGTGCCCAGTGGGAATAGGGTGCCCTGTGTGGGTGGGATGCCCCATGGGAATGGGGTGCCTTGTGGGATGGGATGCCCCACGGAGTTGGAGTGCCCCATGGGCACGGGCGCAGAGGGGACATGGAGTGCAGAGTGGGGACATGGGTGCCCAGGCGGGATGGGGTGCTCTGCAGGGATGGTCCCTGCTTGGTGGGCATGGGG